GTCCAGAGAAACGAAGTGATTTACTCAAGGTCACATGGTGGTGAGTAGTAGAGGCAAGATCTCAATCCATATTCTCTCCTCTAAATCTAAAACCTGTTTTGTGGTGTGTTCCAAATAAGGACCCCTTATCGTCCTACTCAGAATCACTCAGCTTCTGTTCCTACATCCCTTCTTCCCAGTGTTTCAACTCTACCAACACTGTGAAGTAGAAAGAAGTAAAAAAGGATAGAGGTCCAAAGAAGGCTATGCAAGAATGCAATTGATTTTCTTATGTGGCTCATAAATCATCTCTGTATGCCACTTCAAAAAAAAAAAGGGAGTTCTAAAAATGTTTGAAACAATAGCAGTGCCATGGGCATAGACAGATAGACTCCCAAGGTGGTTCCTTTTGAAGGAGACATCACTCTTTTACCTGCAGAAATTCTGGTAATTTTCAGAGGCAGGATGGGGAGGACAAATCTCATTAATTTATCATAATACTTCTATTTCCATCTTCCAAGTGGCCAATCAAAAGAAAAGGTTTTGTTTCAGTGAGGTAATCCCATGCAGGCTCATGCCTGAAATGGAAAACTTTTGCTCCAAAATTTTGGATCAAACTTACCGCTGTTGATGTACAGGATTTTGGCCACTCACTATTCATGCTAAAGCACTGGACTTGGAGGAGCAATGAAGCAACAATGGTCCAAGATCCAATGCTGGAAAGTTCAGTTCAAGTGAAGATTAATTTGTGTATTTTATGCTAGCTACCCTACAGAGAGAAAACTGACAGACTTTGGGTTTGGATTAAAGCTTTCTTTTTTCTCTTTATTTTTCTTCTCTTTTTTTGTAACATGGCTAATATGGAAATATGTTTTGCATGATGTCACATATAATAAGTATCATATTGCTTGCCTTCTCAGTGGGTGAAAAAGGGGCTAGAGGAAGGGAAGGAGAGAATTTGGAACTCAAAATTTTTAAAAAATAAATAAATGAATATATAAAGAAAGAAAGTTTATATATTTTAAAGGCTTTGGACCTATTCCTAATGTCAGGGTTTAAGGTGAAGCTCCAAGTATTGTTATGATGGCAGAAAGATTGTCTGCTTTCAGATACAGAAAGACCAACAGCTTGATCTCTAATGTTTATGGAGACACTTGGATAAAGTGATTTTAGAAGGTGATATAATATTAAAGATAAAGGTTTAGTTGAATATTAGCATGTGTGTGTGTGTGTGTACACACATACATGTATGTGTATATATATGTATTTTTTTCAGTTTTTAAAACAAATGTGCAAGTGGTCAGCTTTACTGTATCCTTTGTTTTCATATCTGCATCTTATTTATAATCACTGAAAAATAGTTCCTTTTGAAGTTAGTTATATACAGCAGGCAGCTAGGTGGTGCAGTGGATAGAGTGTTGTGTCTAGAGCCCAGAAGACCTGAGTTCAAATCTAGCCTCAGATCCTTCTAGCTCAGAGCCTTATAGCTAAGACTCTGGGTAAGTCACTTAACCCTGTTTCCTCATCTGTAAAATGAGCTGAAGAAGGAAATGCCAAATGAAGAGTCAGACACAACTGCAACGATTGAACAACAATATAGAGATGTAGAAAGGTTCTTATAGTGCCATAGAAATATAGACCACTGCAATGGTTCAAAGTACCACAAAGAGAATTTTAATTTAGTGGCTGGGATGGGTATAATGATTGAAATCCAACACAAAGTAAGGTCTTTGTTTGTTTATTTTACAACATTTTTTAATTGCATTGACTTTTTATTTCTTGAAGGATATAGTAAGGACATGTCAAATTTCAGTAATGAATGATCATTTTGCCATGTATGCACAAGCATACCCAACCAGAAATCAGAAAATTCCCATGGTTGCTAAATTGTTGTACGAAAAATATTTTTCGGTATATGGACTCCCTGCCAAGGTCCATTTTGACCAAGATAGAAGTTTTTGAGAGCAAGTCACTCAAGGGAATGCTACCATTGACATGTATCAAGATGTTTGGAACTATTCACCACATACAAGGAGACTCACAACCTCAGCATTTTAGTGATACAATTAAACATGTTAGGAATTTCTTAGAACTTTTTTTTCGAATATTCTGATTTGGGGACTTAAGGTGAGCTTCTTATGATAGAAGAAGGACAATCCCTAGGACCAGCTTCTGAATTGGGAAGGGTATGTATGGAGAAGCATACATAACTTTTATGTTCCCAAATAGGTAGTGTGTATATCTGCTTGCCCTGAGAAACCGCCATTTAAACCAGGCAACTAATTGGAGCTAAAAGATCTGGTTTTATGACTATCCTCTCCTTAGCAAATTACTGTCACTGGAACTGGCTAGTGCAGAGTGGATAGTGTGCCAAACTGAAGTCAGGAAGACCTGGGTTCAAATCCAGCCTCAGACACATTAGCTGCATGACCCTGAGCAAGTCACTTAACCCTGTTTGCTTCAGTTTCCTTATCTATAAAATAGACATAATAATAGTACCTACTTCCCAGGGTTATTGTGAGAATCAAATGAGATAATAATTGTAAAGCATTTAGCACAGTGCCTGGCACATAGTAAGCACTATATAAATGTTACTTATTATTATTATTATTACATGTGCCACAGTGTCCCTGTATTAAAATCAGACCATTTTACTCACCTGCCTATATCACTAAGATGCAGTGAAGGTTGATTGTTGTTTGTATATTTCACAATTACATAATTCATTACATTTAAAACAAAACAAAGCCCTTTTCATAGCAGCTGTGGGTCATATGCATTTAGAAATATAAAAATGATATTTTGATCCTAAAAATAAATCTCAATTGCTGTGTAAATGATGAATTGTCTTAAATCGTTGGTATTCAGGAAGAGGAAGAGTGACCACGCCAACCTTATTTTAAGAAGAAAAGAAGAAAATAAAACCTTTCATTACTCACTCCTATGCATTTTCTACCACATTACTGTATATATTGTGCATTCATTTTTCATTGCTAAGTAAGAAAATCTCTTTACTGGTGCCCATTGGAAATTTTATGAGCCATGAGCCTTTGTTGAAAGGCCAAAGGAATGTTCACTTGTACAATCTTTTTAAATAATTCTTTTTTTCTTCTTTCATAATGAATCATGGAAAACACTTTAAAAGGAGCAATTAGTCATTCCAAAGGCTTACGTATCAAAGGTAAATTTAAAGAAGTAGTACAATATTCTGCCCTTTGGTGTATTTTTAGACAAAAGCTCCACTCATCTTTATGCCATGGCTTTATTTCCTTGCCTATAAGATGAAGATTCATAATATCTCATAATATGCTTTCTATTTCATTGCCTTCCTTTGAGTCATTTGCTTGATTTATTCATTTCTGGAAGAATTTTAATGCACAATGACAATTTATATCAATAAGATGTTAATGTTTCCCCAGAAATTACTTAACTTTTAAGAGCAAAATTTTCACTTTATTGCTTGGAATGTCCCAAACCACTTAATAGCTTGAATGCTCTGCATGGATCTAATCAGCATTCTGAAGAGATGTCTAAGACTGGAATAGTGTGTCAAAGTTGACATGGCTGCTATTTAAATAGAAATTTTATAGTCAATTGCCATAAAAGTAGTCAATGCATTGATGAACCAATTTGAGATAAATTTTTATTCCTTTTTCCTATCACTTGTCTTTTGGCCATTTCACCCTAGGACAAACAACAACAATAACAAAAGAAGCAGCAGCAGCAGCAGCTCCTTACCAAAACAGGAGAGAAAAGGAACTGAAGACCAAGTCAGCCAATTTTGTTAAGTTGTCAGTGGCCTTCATAGAGAGTTTATTGGGCCATGAAATCGTTAGTTGAGCAAAGAGCATTAAATATTAATATGAAACATTAAATAATGGCTAAGATAAGGGGTTTTTGTTTTGTTTTATTAACTGGGAATTTAATTTTTTTCTTGCCACCTTTTTACATTAGCATGAATAATTAGTACTCAAAGGGGATTGGGCCCAAACTTCTGTTTTGGTGAAACCATGTCTCATCATTGGCTATTGTTAGGGCTACTTAGAAGGGAAGTGTTTCACAACACAAGCATAAATCACCAGGTTAAAATTGTCTGAGGAGCATTTTTTTTAAATGACAAGAATCCACTATGGGCTGTTCAAAGAGGTCTATAGTTCTCATAATCTAGGATAAGAGATGAAACAACTGTTCTTAGGGCCTTTCTGTCACATGGTCTTGTCACCTGTCTTTGCCCATCATATTTCCAAAATTTTGATGTCTCTATGTTAAGACTGAAGTGAGAGTGGGATGAGAGCTCCTATAGGGAGGATCACCTTTTAATTTTTTAAAAAGTAAAATCCCAGGCCATTGGGAGAAGCTGAAAAAGAAGAGAGAAGGAAAATATAACATCTAAACTTAAGAGCTGAAAGTATTATCAGAGATCATATAGTCTAAGCCCTCTAATTTACAGAGGAGGAAGCTGAGGCCCAGGGAGGTGCCTTGACTTGTCGAACGATCCCCTTGACCATCTGTAGCAGTAGTGGTAGTGGTGGTAAATGATGCTGACTCTTCTCTTGCCTCACACTTCCACAAAAACCATGGAAACTCTTTTAACCAGATTTCCTTCTAGTAGTTTGTTGCTTAAAACAGCTCTAGGGGAAGCCATCCAAAGTCTTGATGCTTTAGTGCCTAGGTTGTACTCTTTTGGGGTTTGTTTGTCCAGAGACTTCATGGGCTTGAAGTGAACGAGTAGGAGCTATCCAGGAGCAGTGTGTGAAATGAGTCCTAGGATTTGCTCATAAGAGAAAGCTCTCATAAAGCCACTTCTTGGGCTTTTTCTCTTTTGCTTGAGGTGTGAGAGTGCACTGAGTTTCTTTGATCATATCTGCCTAGAAACAAATTAGAACAGGACTCAGAATTCATTTGCAGATGTTTTTGATTGCTGCCTATGGGTTTATAGCCTCTCTTCTTTTTAATGAGATCTCAAGACTAAAAAATGAAGGAGACTAACTTTTTTTTTCTTTTGCATGTGGTTCTTTTAGGGTATAATCACCAACAGATGAATGAAGGACAAAGGCAGAAATCTTCTGATTTTTACAACCGAACTGCATCTGAATCAAATGTCTATTTGAATAGTTTCCAATACCCAGATCATAGTTACAAAGATCATGCCTTTGATACTTTGAGCATGGATAGCTCTGACAGCATGGAAACCAGCCTTTCTGCTTGCTCTCCTGACAATATCTCCAGGTAAGGTTTCTGATTTGGAAAAGACATCTGTTCCTTTCAAAAAGCAAGGCCATTACTGGAGGTCAAGTTTTTTTTAAGTAGATTTTTATGGATTTTCCCCTCTGTATCCCCCTCTCCCCCCTCCACCATCCATCTTCTATAACAAAGAATTTGAAAGAAAGAAAAAAAAGAAGGTAGGAAGAAGGAAAGAAAGAAAGAAAGAAAGAAAGAAAGAAAGAAAGAATTCAGTAAAAGCTAATCTATACATTGAAAGACTTGACATCACATGGACTGTTCTAAATGCTTGAACCCCTCCAACAAAAATTAGCTTTAGAATCAAAATCCAAATGTTGTGGCCCAGTGGAAAGGTTTGCTAGGCAAAGAAATGTGGCTTTTTACACTCATTTTCTATCTGTGCCCTGCCATCTTTACTGAATGTGAGTACAGTAGATTCTTCTCTTATATTCGATTACCCCATGATTTTATTCTGGGTCTAACTAGATGGAACCAATGGATTTAGACCTGCTGAAACTCTGTAGTCTATTCAGCCACTACTTCACCTCTGCGAAGCAGCAAATGCCAACATTAGAGGCAGAGCCTTCACAGCTGTTGCAGTATATTTTTAGTAATATAGTTCTAGCCAAAACCAAACATTAAAATACTTAAAAGGGTTTTTATTGTTTTGTCTCATTTCATGTCTATGTTGTCCCTTTGAGATAAGCAAAGTGTTGCATAATGAATTCATCTCATAAAGGAGCTCTTCAAGGATGGTATGATGCAAGATATTGTAGGAGGGACAGATGTTCATAGGATTATAGCTCTGGAGATGGAAGATAATTTAGCAGGCAGCTAGTTCAATCCTCCCTCATTGGTTTAGGAAGGTTTAATGGCTAGCCCAAAGCTATGTAATAAATACCAAATGCAAGATTTGAACTCAGCTCCTCTTGCTCTAGAGTCAATACTATAGTTTAATGAACTCTGAGGCCAATGTGGTTGCTCCAGATGGTATGGTCCTCACCTAATTTAGCACTAAATCTCTACTTAAAGTCACTCTTCCTTCAAACTTCCCCTATTTTAGTTAAGGACATTACCACCTTTTGAGTCACTCAGGTTCACTGCCTGAGAATCCTCTTCAATTTTTACCTCTACTTCACTTCCCATATCCTTTCAGTTGCCAAGTCTTGCTGATTTTGCCTCCATAACATGTCAAGTCAGTCCCTTTCTCTCCATGTATATAGCTACAACATCTCTACACAATTTCAATAGTCTCCTACTTGTATTCCATTCTCCTGTCTGTCCTCTGCACAGCTTCCAAAAGAATCATCCTAGGAAGGGGTTCTGCAAGTGCCAGAGTTGCAAAGATGTTTACAAAGTAGTAATCATTAAAACATCTAGTTTCAAAAACATAGAAAAGTCAATCATATAATATATTAGATACACAACATACAGAAGCAAATAAACATAGTGGCATAGGGTTTGCGGGGGAAATCATTCCAGATGTGAAGCAGGACATGAACAAAGATGGCAGCAAGGTAGTACAGGGTATGTTAGGAGGCATGGAATAGACCTGTTTGGCTAGAATATTTAAAGGTATGAAGGAGTGTGAGATAAAGCTGAAATGGCAGGCTGGATCCAAATCAAGGGGCATCTTAAATGCCAACCAACACATTTTAACTTTTATTGGGTAGGAAAAGGGTAGGTGCTAAAAGTTTTTGAACAATGAAGTAACATGATCAGATCAAAGTATTTGGAAAGTTAATCTCCCATTGTTTTTGAAATGGGGTTGTAGCAGGGAGAGACTAGAGGCAATGAGATTGGTTATTTGGGATGTTATATCCAGGGGAGAGATAAAGAAAAGCTGAAAAATGAAATTGACTGCTTTAGGAAGTAGAAGGTTCCCTGTCACTAGAGGACTTCAAACAAGGCTGGAGATTCTGTAGAAGGGATTGAACCCTGAAGTCTCTTCCAACTCCAAGATTCCATAATGAGAACAATTATAAAGTCTCTGTAGATGTCCAACTTCAGGGATTCTGTGATTTTGTGGTCCTAGTTGTGGTATCCTTAGGAAGAATTTTAGTTAGTGTGAGGAAGAAAGGAATACTTGAAAGATGAGAACTGGGCATGGCTGATTTTGTTCAAAACAATTAGAGAAGTGATTTCTAAGGGCATGGTAGAAAAGATGGGTAGAGGCAGAACTAGGATTAAAGTGAGCCTGGAAAAAAGTAGAGCTGAACTGGATAGGAATGAAAGTACAGGAGAAAATATCAGGGAAAAGGGATTGTGATCATTGTTGCAACTTTTGGCTAACAAGGACCGGAAACGTAGGAAGGTCAAAGATATGCTGGAGGGTCCTTTTATCAATCTAGGAAGGACTGATCCTGAATAGGTAGAAATTGATAGTGGGGAAATTTCAGGATTCCAGTGAGAATCTGAATAAATTAGAATGTTCTTGTGAGCCACTGCTGGACGTGTTTTCCTCTCTCTCACTTTTTTTTTGGTGAGACAATTGGGGTTAATGTTTCTAAAGTGCTATGCAAGCCTTATAGGGCTATAGAAATGCTTGCTAGTCTAATATTACACTGTGATCTTGACAAATGGCTTGACTTTTCTGGGTCTTAGTTTCTAATCTGTAAAATAAGTGGGTTACACTACATGAACTCTAAGGCTCTTTGACTTCTAGATCTCAGATTCTATCATACTACCAGATGCTCTTCGAATCAAGATAAACGAACAGACCCTAACATCTCAGAGCTTGAATTGTAGAGGCCTTAGTCCCACATACCCCTGGGAATTCAAAATACATCAGTGGAAATAATAGCATCAGCAGAAGATTTTTCTCTGGAAATATCTCAACAGAGCATCCAGATCAACTCCCTCATTTTCCAACTATCTTATTTTGCATAGGACAATATTAAGTCCTGGGTCACACAGCCTGTAAATAGTAAAGCTAGGATTTGAACCCATATATCCTGGCTGCAAACCCAGTTGTCTTTTACTATACTATAATCTATAGAAAGGCTAAGGTCATCCTCTGCATCCTGGGCCATCACCAGTTGTCTTGACTTTTGTCTTACCACTGGACTTTGATGACTTTGGAGAACCAAGCAAGAACCTATGACCAATTCATGCACATGTCAAGACATCACCTTTGTGATGTCCTTAGTCCTCTTCCAGAACAAAGGAGGAATAGCTACACCAGCAATAACTTCCAGTGACATTGTGCTGAGAATATTGACTCTTACTGCTGATTTTCTGCTCCCTTAAAGGAACATTTCTGTGCCCTGATCCTCTTGTCTCTAGAAATTAAAGAAATAATATAATGTTCTCCCTTCTGTTCCATACAGGAATTTTGTGAAAATAGAACAAGATATAAATTTGAAGTATTTTTGGAAATAATACCAGCATATACGTTTTAGAGCATTTCCTCCCTTTCCAGAGGTGGTCACCCTAGGTAGACATATCCATTGAAAAAACAACCTAACTTTGTTTAGTGGGTCATTTACTGAGCTACATGAAACACTCAAATGACTAACCCATGAGCTGTACAGTTTTAGAAATCAAAAACTAAATCACTTCAAAGGCAAACTCCAGCCTAACAAAGCTGCCAAGGAACAGTGTGTGGGAGAGGAGAATTGATGCTGCTGTTTTGGAACAATTATAGAGCAGTTTATTACAATTCCAGCATTAATGACTGAAACAGTATTTACATAGTGCCAGAGGTGTCCTGCTGTGATCAAAATGGCTGGAATTCATGGAGGTGGGGGGGAGGGGAAGGGAATGGAGAGTCTGAAGCTTAATATTTGGATCATTATTTTCTGGATTGAAAAGATGATAGCAATCACTTAATCTCAGGAAAGACTGAATAAAATTGTACATACATCCTTGGAAGGTCAGGCAGATTGGTTTCTGCCTTTGTCAGCTGTGACTCAACAAAGGAATTGTTTTACATATACTCTTGTGGTACCAGGTATTACATTTCATATGTGTTAGCTCTCCAGCCAGTGGTTCATGTAGGTAGTTTTTGAGTTTACATTATGGAAACATAACTTGTGTTCCTGTAGTGGGTTCCAAGCCCTCTTCTGCACTAAAGGAACTTGGGTAATACTTTAAACCATGTAGGCACACATTTATATTGATGAGGTCATAGGAGTTATGATTTTGGCTGGCAGCGAGGCAGAGTTTTAAAAAAAAGGGAAAGTCAGTGAATTCAGTGGCATCAGGATCATGTTGTGTTTGTGGAGGTTTTGGTGGATATTGAAAAACTGAACATTTTCCACCTTATCAATTTGAAGATTTCTAGGGTCATAAGTGTAGGATCAAGAGCTAGAGATCATCTGTTTAGAACTTCTTTTAAAGATAAGGCTCAGAGAAATTAAATGACTTGCCCAGCATGGCAGAGCCAGAAATTTGAACCTATATCTATTGACTTCAAAGTTAATACTATTTCCCCTGCACCAAATTGCCTGTATGGGTTCTTTATATTACATTTTAAAATAAGTATTTCTACCAATGTGTGCATAAAACCATAAACACTTAGCAATTAGTCACAAACAACATTAATCTAATGATTTTGTATGTGATACTTTTGGATAACAAGACATTTAAACCTGTTTCTAATGATGATTCACTGTGTTTTATCTAGTAGAAATAATAGGGGAAAAAATTAAGAGAGAGCACATTTGAATTCTTGGCATAGTACCCAAGACGAACCACTGTGTATAAATATACATACTGTGTGTGTGTGTGTGTGTGTGTGTGTGTGTGTGTGTGTGTGTGTGTGTATAAATGTGTGTGTGTGCATGTGTATGTATACATGGAGGCTATTTTATCATTTCAGGCACATCATAGGATATATGTTATATAGTAATATCCTGGCCTCAGTTTCCTAATCTGTAAAGCAAAGAGCTTGAACCAGATTATCTGCACAGTTTCTTCCAGTTCGAAAATCCTATACTTTGCATATCCAGTGGCTTTTTTACATCACATTAAATTTCTCTAGGGGAATTAGAAAAGATAACCTC